GGAGGGGAAGGGGAGAGAGCCATCAATGTGACCATTCGGCGATGCTCATGTCTTTGGGTTTAGTTGTTTTGTTTCTTGAACTTTGCGTAAATCTTGGCGCACTCCTACGCTGAGCACACCCTCTCGTATCGGGTTGGCTCATGCAATGGTTTTACTGGTTTTGTGAATCTTTGTTTTCTAGTTGGTTTTTCTATGTGTTTGATTTTACGTTTTTTGCTATTTTTTCTGCTAGTTTTTTCTCCTTTATTTGTTTTCAATTTTTTGAAAACCAATCATGTCCCTCTTTAAATTGTATGAATATTTATAAAATTTGTGATTTTTCAATTTCTTAAATTTTTTTACTCATGAATATTTTTTAAAAAAATTGAGACTTTTTTAAAGTTCATGAATCATTTTTAAAATCCACATATCTTTTTTGGATTCACAAGTGTTTTAAAATCGAAAAAATGGTTTTCCCTGTGACAGCAGCAGCAAAATGGAGCGGAAAAGGGCGATTGAACTAGGCGGGTGAGCCTGCGGGATTGAATTTATTGGCTGGCCCATATTGCTCGAACCATTATAGGGCCAACTTAACCAAATTCCCTATTCGCTCCTATCAACGCAACGAACAGTCGAACCACCCGAGTGCATGATATGGGTTGACACATTTTGTGCGTAACCACATTCGCCACTGTCGACACAAGTTCACAGTGTGACTTAACTGACTTTGGGAACCTAGAAGGTTCCTACAGTTGTTGTTTTTTCTGTTTTTTTTCTTCTACTAGCTTTTATGATTTTTCCTTTTTAAATATTTTTTTCATTTTTCACTTCTTTTTTCCGATTTTTTTTCAAAATAAATAAATAAATGATGTTCACAACTTCAAAACAAGTTCGCAAATTTGAAAAACAAATAGGAGTTTAAAAAAAGACCCTTCTTTAAAATTTGTTCACAGATCCAAATAATGTTCGCTTTTCATCAAAGAAATTTTGGAGTTTCAAAAAATATTCCCATTTTCAAGAAGTAAATCTTGTTCAACAAATGTTCGAGTTTTTAAAAATTGATTGTGCTTTTCAAGAATGTTCGGAATTTTCTAAAAAAAATGTGTTTTTAATTTTTTTTCAAAAATAGTTTACTTTTTCCAAAAAATTGTTGGTGTTTTTCAAAAAAGTTGGATTTTTTTAAAATTATAAATTCAAAAAATCCTTCAGATTTTTCAAGAAATGTTTTGGAATTTAAAAAATTGTTTGTTTTTCCGAAAATATTTAACAATTTGAAATTGTCAACAATTTGCAAGAAATATTTCAAAAATTTCAAAGAAGTTTGAAATTCCAAAGCTTCAGTGTGTTCTTAAATTTGCGCTTGCCTTCAATAATGAACAGCCTTTGGTTCTACTCCCTAACACTTATTTTGGGACGGAGGGACTATTTGCTAGCAGCATGAGTGCAGGAGTGGGAGGTCGCTAGTTTGATTTCCTGCAAGCGTGTTGCCTTTGGTTCTTCAATATGTCACGCGCTACAAAACCCAACTCGCTTCACCCGAGTTGACCGACCAGTCATGTGGTCTCCTAGGCGCCGTGCTCCTATATGACGCAAAATGTGGCATATAGGAGGTCCCCAACTTGACGTCTTAAGGCGTCGTATAGGAGGAGCTCCAAATTTGGGGGTCGAACACGTTTGAGTCATGGGTTGGTCCAGTCCACAATAATCTGGTTAACAACATATATGTACTATTAAATGGAAGTTGGCCGTTTGCTTCCTCGCCTTCAGGGTTTTCTACAATCTCTCACCCTTACAGTTATTTTCCAAACCATCCAATAACCCTCATTATATTTTTTACAAATCAATAAACACATCAATATAGGGCGACCACATAAAAGTGTCGTCATTTTAATAAATTTGGGACTTTTTGTGAAAAGGCCCACAAACTCACCCTTACAAAAAATAGAAAACATTTAAATTTTTGGAGGTGTCGAAATCTTCTTCCTCCTGCATCTATCGGTAGCATGCCGTGAGCATGGTACGCGCCACCTCTGGACCTCCTTCTCAGCGGAGAAAATTTCTAAAATTAGGAGCTTATGCAAGTAGCGTCCGGGAAGTCATCAATGCGGGCTAGGAGGCACCGACGGAGGCGCTCTATGAGGCAAACACCACCCCGAAAAAAAAATACACCGACAAGGACATGTAGAAACTAAGAAAACCACAAAAGCCCATTGAATCCAGACAGATCCACCGAAAACCTAAACTGGCGGATCCTAAAAGACCCGCCGGAGACACAACTCCACATGCCCTCCTGTTGAAAAACGCACCAACGAAACAAGGCAGGGCGTAGAGAACATTATTCCTATTGTGAGGCAACACTGCCGCTTCTCCTTCCCAAGCCATGCAACACGAAGTCTTAACAAAAAAAAGCCTAAAAAAATTAGGCATCTTGTTGTACGACAAGTCAGGGTTTAACATCGATCTTACCACCGTATGGAACCGTGCATCGACGCCCTCTAAAAATGGTCGTTAACTAAACTTTCGCTCAACTTGGACAGACTTCGTGAATCAACCTGTGGTTGGATGGTTAGGAGCACAACGGTATCCCCATCCCACTATGGTTCAAGTCCTAAACTTGACATTGCTGCTCACATTTTTGTGGATTTATTCCAGGCCTGTCAGCGATGTGCGTTTAGTGGGAGGGGGATGTCACCTCGATGATGAAAAGCATCTACAGTGACTTTATCAATCTCAAGATGATGTGGCGTCTCGGTCTTTCGAAGGTGCTCATAGGGTATGGTGTGCCTGTGCGCATTCATAAGTAAAAGTGTATGTGTGTACGTATCTGCGTCTGTACCGTGATAAAAATAAACTTGGACTGACTTCGTACGTGCTCCCCGCCAAGAATCAGCATTTTGCACCATGTCTATCGATCTTGTACCTGAGTTTGTCCAAAAGAAAATGTTTATTCCCCTGGATTATTATTCAAGATGATGTCGTTTTCAAGAGTAGAGCCGCACACCCCTCCATCGGTCCGTCGTGAAAATATCTCCGCCGCGGCGAACATGAACATCAACCTACCGGGCAAAGTGGTTTGGGTTTGCTTGTCTTCACACCCCCTATCCATGGATGACGACATCGGACGAAAAGCATCCACCCCAAGAAAGGAAACCAAGTCAATGCGAACAAGAGAAGGAATAACACACGAAAACGTTGCTGGTTATTCCCCACCGCGGCTCCGCCCACCAATCGTCATCGTCGTCCTCCTCATCCAACAGAACGTCGGCGACCACAGCACGCGACTCCTCCTGTCTGAGCGCCGGTAAGCTCAATCTAGCCATCTCATTCTGAGCTTCTCCTTCGTTTTCCTCGTTCTTCCCGGTTGACCTCCGTCCAATCATCATCGGTAAGCCTTTCCCAATGCCGTCCATTGCACTCGATTGCTGAATGAATGATTGGTGGAGGACCTCCCTTCTCAGTTTTTCTACGCCCAGAGTCCCAGACATCTGCCGTGAATATAAGCACCTCGATTGCTCTAATCTGCACCGAATTTTCAGTGGCAAGAGCATCTCATATATGCTGTCTTCATGTTATCAGGTTTAATTTGTTCTTGCGGACCATGGACGACGGGGACATAGATTTCACCAATCCGGAGACGTATCTTTGCCCGGCCATGGGCACCGATCCCCACGACAGCTGCTCCATCTCCATGGACAGCTACTTCGACGACTTTCTGAAAGACACGGAGACGGAGCATCTCGCATGTACTCACACCCACGCCTGCTGCAACCCACATGTACGCCATGACCTTGCCCACCACACCCAGACCTGCATCCATGTCCACACCAAGATCCTCCGGGAGGAGTCGGATGATGTCGCTGAGACCTCGGAGTCGCCGCAAGAGACCGACGGCCCAAAGAAGAAGCGCCCGCCGGGTAACCGGGCAGCTGTGAGGAAGTACCGTGAGAAGAAGAAGGCCCACACGACGCTGCTGGAGGAAGAGGTTGCTCGCCTCAAGGCTCTAAACAAGCAGCTCCTGAGGAGGCTTCAGAGTCACTCGGCGCTCGAGGCTGAGGCGTCCAGGCTCCGCTGCCTGCTTGTCGACATTAGAGGGAGGATCGAAGGAGAGCTTGGTGCTTTCCCTTACCAGCGGCCTGTGAAGAACAACGATTCGGCTGACCAGGGAAGTTTCCTTGGTGGTGGTACCCAGCAGGTTAGGCTCACATGCAACGAGCCGCTCTACCGCAGTCCAGAGATGCAGGCCACGACAATAGATGACGATTGTGGTACGAGCGGCGAGCTGTTGGGTCAAGCTGCCCGTGACATTGCAAATAACCAGTGGCTCCCAGGTTTGCCAGATGATGTAAAGAGGTGAAGGCAGGTTAGTTCTACTTATCTTGTGTGTTCTGTAGACAAAAATTTCTTGTACAAATGGCAAAAAGCGCCTGCCTTGTCCTAAAAAATAAAGAGCCTTTTTTTTCTTGATATGAAAAGAGCTTTTCTTATAGCAACATCAATTTGGGGCAACTGCTAGTTACTTTTGCCTTTCAATAAGCTGCTCATAGCATTACTGAACCTTTTCCAGAGACTTATCATCACTGTGGTAGTATTAATTCAGTTTGTCACTAGACACAACTGAAAAATAAAGCGCACTACAGCGCCGCTAATAGCGTACTATAACATGTAGATAATTGTCTCGATAGGAAAGAACCAGTTTACAATGTACCGCTATTAGCATGCTATAACGCAATAGCACGCTATACAGCGCTATAGCATGCTAATAGGGTAATTTAAGGGGCGGTGCTATTTTGTATAGCGCGCTATTCTTTTCCTTAATAGGCACTCTATTCATTCATTTCCTGCCCATGAACTTCATAATGCACCGGCCTTGCCATATTTTTCATTGTACTTTAGGCTGTTTTATAATGGGCCGTTATGAACGGCTTTCATTAGCATGTGCATCTGATTCTCAACTTGGGAATAGTATGCCATTGGTAATAACTAATGACGGCATATAGTAGACAAGTGTCTCCTTGATTCTTTCTTGTACAAATGACCTTTGTCCATCTCTAGTCTTCAAGCCGAAAAAATAAGATAACATCTCAGGTATGGGTAGATGATTTCTAGCACCTGGATGCTCCACCCCCTAAATGAACATTAAATTCAAAAACAATACCAAGAAATTTGAAAAGAAAAACTGAAAATTAGGGATATCAAACTTGGGTGTCTGATCTATCTCCGTGTAAAATTTCATCAAAAAATATCAGGAAACGTATCTGTGGCGAAAAAGATAAAAAAAATCCTATGAATAGAAAAAACTGTTTGGACGGATTTTAGTTCGGACAATATTTTTTACGAAACTTCACACAAAAGTAGATTGGAAATCCATGTTTGATATACCAGAATTTCAGTTTTTTTTGGTATTTTTTACATTTAATAATTGTATAGGGGTGTGAAGCACCCATGAGCTCCTGTATATTTTCCCTCGGGTATAATACTATATATGCCATGTTGATAGTCATAAGCTATATCCGGTACTTGCGAGTTGCATTGTACTCCCTCTGTAAACAAATGAAGAACATTTTAGGTCACTCAAGTAGGGACATAAAACATCTCATATTTGTTTACAGAGGAAGTACCTAGAGCTAGTTTCGTTCATCTCACCACGCACAAACCTTTTCTTATGCAGCGATTATTTTGATCATTATCATTTCTGTATCTAAAATGTTCGTGCGGATAATTGCTTCAGGACTTGAGAAATACTCATGCTACTTTTCCTCTAAAAATTACTCATGCTACTGCTTTCATTTTTCATCATATTTTCTGTCTCTACAAGTGTTGGTGCGGATGCATTGTTGGGGACTCGAGTAACACACTTGGTACTGATTTTCTCTCTCAGGACATGCCGAACAGCTTATCTTCGCTTTGCTGGGGACTATTGGTTTCTGTGTACAAGGAAGACTACATTTGTTGCTTATATCGGCCGGGTTGTGTTTGGTTCAAACTGCGGTATTGCCGATGATGCCTGAGGCGCTGCAAGTTGGATAGCTCTGACGCTACCAGGAGTGGGCATGTCCGGTCACGTTGCATTGTTCTGTTTTCGGTTAGGCTCATGGAGTTTTGACAGCCTTGCGTCTGGTCCTAGATGCCTCCTTCAATGAGTAGATACATACCGCATTCCAAGTTATTGTGGATAACAGAGATTTCTGCATCCATGGATTGTGCTAGTTTACTTTTTTTAACTCCTCTATTTTTGAGATGTTACTGGTAATAGCTAAAAATCACAATGTCTGACCCCTCAATGTTTGTGAATAATAAAGATCACAATACAGAAATAGAAGAGCTTATTTTTTAACCCTCTATGTTTGCGAATAGCAAAGACGTTGCTGGTTTATACAATTGTTCTACTCCCTACGTTCATTACTATAAGACATTCTAAGGTTTTTCGGATTCAGATGTATATAGCGCATTTTAGTGTGTTTGTTCACTCATTTCAGTCCGTATGTAATCCAAATATCCAAACCACCTTATATTTGCGAGTGGAGAAATATTAAATATGAACAGTATGTACAAAGAGCAGCAGAATATTACATCAACCAATGCCTTTTCTAGACCACATAGAAAAAGATGGAAATCAGACTTTCAGGTTCACAGATTAACCGTGCACCGCTTGTTGAGCCGCTCTGCTTTCAAAGGTTTGACGCACATCATCGTGAATTTGAGCAGTTCTTTTTTTTGGTGGGAAATTTGAGCAGTTCTTTTAGGGTGAATGTCCAGCTATTGGAGTTCTGGATAGCATTTCTGAAACTTTTGTCATTCTAGCTAGGTTACATATTCAGTTTGGGTTGACCTCAAGTTCGATATTATTGCCTGTTAGCCTTCGGAAAGCACGCACACTATAATTTCGATCAAGCGTTGGTATGCCTGTCCTGTTGTATTGTGTTCGGTGACTCAAGCAGAAGAATTCAACTATTGAGTGCTTCCGTACAACACACACACATACACCCCCCCCCCCCCATTTCACATTGGGTATAGGAATATCCCTGATGCCGTACGTCCGCGCGCGACATCGTACGCCCGCCCGTATATGCCGCGCCCGTCACCGTACGCCCGCCCGCGTATGCCGCACGAGTCGTCGTACGTCGCCGCCGTATGCCCGCGACGTCTCCACGTTGGCGTCGACAGTTATTGAAAAAAATGCCACGGGATCCGCCGACGCCCGCCGTCGTAACCCTAAACCCTAAATGCATCCACGCCATCTCCACGTCGCCCCCGTCTCGTAGTCGCCGTCGCCCTCCACGTCGCTCGGGTCGCCGCCCAAACAGGCAGCCGCGCGTGCCCCGGCGCCGTTGCTGCTGCCGCCGCGTTTGTTTGCCGTCGCCGAGATGGCCGCCCACCCGTGCTCTTCGTCGCCGCCTTCCTCCCCGGACTCTGCTTGCTACCACCGGCCGTCATCGTGACACCGTCGACACCTGCCTCGTCCAGCCAGCAACGTCACGCCGTCAGCGCGTTCGTCATCGGACAAAATGGATCCAGCTGACATCGTCGCCGCCGTGCAAGAGGTTGGTTCGACTGTAACCTATGTGCGACGTTGTTGTGCTTGATGAACTACTTATTTTAGGGATGATGTTACACGGTGTTCGATTGATCTTAGAATTTTCTTGAACATGAATAGATAGAGAAGGAGGGCGATTATGATGGCGATGATTACGGCGACGACAACGGAACCTCGTCACTGAATATGGATGAACCTGCTGAGGAGAACTACATGAGTTTGGTTGAATCTTATAGTGGCAATGTAAGTGTGATCTTGATAGTAACAAAAAATACGATAAACTGCACGGACAATTACCTGTTATTTTTACATTATGCAGCGACATGGCGATAATGATGATGATATGGATATAGATGATTCATTTGCTGAAAGTGCACTCCGAGTATGTTTTTTAAACAAATAGGAGAAGAAATGACATAATAACTGTATGAGCGATTACATGTATTTTTGAAAAATGTGCAGATGGACGAGGACGGGGACTTTGTGAAGAATTTTGTGGACGATGAAAGTGACAAATCGCACATTGATGCATGTCACGTTGACAGCTCCCGCAAAGTAAGTTTTGAAACTTACATACATTACATATTAAAATAATAACTGACTGACATACATGGTTTGATGCCTTAATTTACAGGGAGATGTAGATGGTCCAAGCGGGAAGGATGAGCATGTTGTTGATGATCTGTTTAATTTTGACATCGGATTTGATGAATATCAGCAAGATTCATTGGACATGCATTGGAAGGTCATGAGCAAGACGTTCAGGTCACTAGGAGAGGCTTACATTTTCTATAACCATTATGCTAAGCAGCGTGGTTTCAGTGTAAGAAAGGACTCGCTGAAATATTCGAAAGGTCGTGAGGGAGCTATGCGCTTGAGAAAGTATCTGTGTGCGAGATCTGGGAAACGACAGGCAAAATTTTATACAATGGAAGGCAGGACCCGCAGGCTCAGAGCGGAGACTTGTTGCTTCTGCGATGCACATATAACTTTGAAGCTTGATAAAGAGCGTGACGTTTGGTATGTTAGCAGTTTCAGTGATGATCAAAGTCACGTTCTAGCTAGACCAGATGAAGTCACATTTCTTCGGTCTCATAATCAGATAAAAGAATTTCAGAAAGCTAAGATCTAAACTATGGCAGGTGCTGGAATCAGGACATATGATTTCTGATAATCTCCTCAGTAGGTACGGATCATATGCAAAGGCTATTTCGGGAGGAAGAAGCTTTATAACATGTGTTATAGAGAAAAAATGAAGTTGCTTGCACAAGGTGATGCAGACACTGCCATTGGGATCATGATGACCAGAAGAGACAGGGATCCAGATTTATTCTTTGAGCACACCGTCGATGATGAAGGAAGGATGAAAAACCTATTCTGGTGTGATTCTCAATCACGTCGAGACTATATTAACTACGGTGATGTGAACCTTCGACAGCACATACAGGATGAATAGGTATGGCATTGCCATTTATACCTTTTGTCGGTCTAAACAACCACCGTTGCACCACGGTATTCGGTTGTGCTCTTGTGTCTGACGAGACGAAAGATACATATGTCTGGCTGCTTCAGACGTTTTTGAGGGCTCACTGTCAGAAGAGGCCCAGGTCAGTAATTACTGATGGAGATGCAGCTATGATTAAGGCCATCAGAAAGGTACTTTCAGACGTTTGGCATCGTCTTTGCTCGTGGCATATTGAGAAGAACATGCAGAATTCATCATAAGTCTCTAAAGGAGTTCAGGTCTCTACTTTATTATGCCACTTCAAAAAAAGTATTTGAGGAGAGATGGGCAGCGTTTACCGCCAAATGGCAGTGGG